CGCGGCCAAACCTTCCTGAGAAGACACTCCCCTCTGAAACTCCCGGTACGCCGCGGCGAACATACCCTGATAGGGGTACGTTCACCTATTCCTCCAACAAACCTCAAATCCAACCCAAACACCAAGATCAAGATTAAATTGCTAATCTATCCTCAAAATCAACCAAGAGAGGTTATTAAAACCCGATAAAAACTTAGGATGTTACAAGGGTGCGAGCGCATAGTGGTTACAGTGTTGTGCATAGTTGCTGCCATAACTAATAAATCAGACAGGTCTTTCTTTCCTTTCCTTTCCTTCTCTATTCTTCCACATCTTTTTTTCCCTTCTTTGTTAAATTCAGTTCTCAAATTTTGCTCCGTCCCAATTTCAGAAGAAATTTTCGGGCATGCCTTTGTTACTTTGAGTAGCTATTAGTGTTTGATTGATTACTAACAAGTTTAGAACACAACAATGGCTTAATATGAATTGTTCGATTTGAACAAAAAAATCCAGGAAAGGAGGAAAGAATGAGATAAGAGGTTTCGAAGGTGTTAATTTCTCATTTTTATTTTTCAAGGTCTGCTTGCTGCTCACTCTCCATACCTCTGTCTCCTTTCTTATTTTTTTCCCATTAGATATGTACTATTTTCTCTTAGGAAGCCATTGAAGCTTCTTGAGCCTCCTTACTAATTAATGTATCTCAGATCTTTCTGACTTGAGAGCATCGGGCTGGGGTTGCTTGACACTGTCATTGACTTAAGATGTCTTCTTTAGAGAATTGAAAAAGAGGTATGAGAAAATACTTTGTTATTTTATATATTTATTTATTTCTGGGTTATATGTTATTTGATTATATGATTCTTTTGTATGCATATACACATATGTGTGTGTGTGTGTGTATTTTTGGTGATAATAATATATGTGTATATATTGATTATTGACATGGATGTAAATGTATTAGCAAGTTAAGGCATTTACGTCCAGTATAAATATATGCACTATTGACTGACTCATTTGTGTAGAGATTTTAAATTGTTCCTCAGAGATAGATGTGTGATGTGAAATGATAACGTATTTTATGGGTAATAATATATTAGTTGATCGGTTGTGTCTTTGGCAAAGCAGGGGAAGGTTCTTTGGTCCATCTTCTATGAAATTTAGCGAAGTTTCTTGCTTCAACAACTTGTAAGTAAGTTGCTTTCTTTTTATTTCTTCTCTGGTTCTTCAAGTCCACTGCACTAACATGCTCAACCATTTATGGTACTAACATGTTGCTATGAATTTCTTCACAGTATGCTCTTGTGAAGAGGGTGCAAGGTAACAGCTAAACCATATTTTGTTACCAGACTTTTTTGGATGATATTACCTGGATATATGATTGATATTTGAATGATTATTATTAATAGCCAACCAGACTTTTTTGGATGATATTACCTGGAGATATGATTGATTGTGTATTATTTTGTTGTTTGTACGAGACTGATCTTTGACAAACTATACGAGTGCTACCAAGGTATATTGGAACCCAACATTTTATCAAGTCCATTGTTTGGAGAGGGAGATGTTGAAGGAGCCTACAAGGAATTGAAGTTGTTTCTAAGCTTGAGTAGGATAGTTTAACTACTTGGCTTTTGTGATTAGGAGGGTCATGGTTTTTTTGTGGAGTAATGAAATGGTTAAATACCAAAAATGTATTATGTATGATCAGATTTGAAAAGATATTGGATGTTCTGATTTGTGTGAGTAGCTGTATTGCATGTCAGCTGAATATTACCATTGTGCAAACTATTTTAAATGATGGGATAATATGCTACTTTTGTTTGATGTTAATGGAATTTTTTTTTATATGGAAGCATAAAACACTGAATCCGCTATGCAATAATATGTAGTTTGTTGGATGGGATAGGATGGTTAGTTTGTTGGACTTGGTTAAGAGAAAGTGATCTCACAATGCTTTGGTATGTTTGTTTTATTACTGGGTTCAATATATGAGCAGAATTTTTAAGATTTCAGAATAATTTTTTGCCAGGTATAGTGTTCCAGAAATTTATGTTTAAGGGGCAATTAGAGTGTTTATGTTTGACTGATATCTTATAAATTTCATAGTTCTATCTGTTTGTAGCCATACTGTGTTTCTTAAAGTTCTGTTTGTTTGTTTAAGGTGTAGTGAAAGATTTAGAGTTTAATTTATTTGATGCAATATAGATTTTGTGTGATCTGCAACTCATGTCCATGTAAAGTTGGTGGAAAGCAGCTTTTTGGTTTAAAGTTAACTTTACTTGTGTCAATATGCAATCAGAAGATGACTAGACCTAACATTATTAATTTAAGATATGTGAAGCTTTATGACTGGTGAGAAACCATGAGGGAGAATTAATTTCAATATCTTTTGTTTAGCACCATTATGCTTTCTTAGTCTATTACATTGTATATAATTTTAAAAGCAAAGTTAACAGATTGTGATTTGAAGCAAGTTTATCTTATCTGATATGAAATTATAGTTGCGAGTTATTTAATGGCTTTGTTACAGGGATCTGATTGCTGTAAGAAAAAAGTTTGTTGACATGATTTATTGTTCAGACATTCAGTAGTCTTCATTTAAAGTTAGAAAATAATCTATCAAGAAGCACATGGTACTATTACACATCATTGCTATTTAATTAGTCATTAATCCCTTATGTAAGTAGTTTTATTTAGTCGTAATAAATTTTAGTCATTGAGAAGATTTGGTGCTCTAAGTCCAAATTTATTATTAAAGATGCAATTATCTGAAACCCTAAAGCCAATACATACATGCATCAAGTCATTAGTAAAAAATCTCATAGAGCAAACTGAAGGTGTGGGGGATAAAATTTTCTCTGTGGTAGGGTTTCTGAAATTTCATGTGAAATGCTTGATATATTTACTAACCTTTATACTAAGTTTGTAAATCCGTGGAGGTACGTGTAGTCTATGTTTTATATTTTTATATATATAATATCATTGTGCAGCAAAACATAGTTTGACAGTCACAATCCTATTTTTCACCACACACCGATGTTCTAGCTTGCAATTAGCAAGCAAATTCACCACTGCAGCAAGTAATGCTTATCTTCCACGTTACTTAGTGAAAATGCTGACAGTGATTGAAAGAATCTGTTTGCAATGGTTTTGACGTTATCTGCCACTCATTCATTTTGTTAGCATATTAGGTTGTAACCCATTTGTTAGCCACTCAAGGTGTCAGGGTAACACGCTGACAAAAAAATGTTGTAACCCATCAGTTAATGTATTAATCTGCTGATTATGGAAGACGTGTTTTATTTGTTAAGGAAAGCAGTATCACAGGGTGATCTCTTAGCTATTAGGTTGATCACTCAATTATTAGCCAAAAGTATCCTAGAAGTATGTGCATTACCTGTATTAGTATAGACTGTGAATATATTATAATAAAGTTACATTATTCAGTGTATTTTGGAAAAAGTGAGTCTATTCAAACTGTGATCTAAAACAAATCGTAATATTTAAATATTGATGTATTAGTTTCCCTTTTTTAACTTATGGAGAGCTTGGGTTCTTTGTTCTTTTATGGAGCAAGATTGGTTTCTCTTTCTTTTTCCCTCAATGAACTTCAAGATGAGTATTTTATGAATGATGTCTCATTTTTCAATATAGGCAGTTAGGCACAACCATTTAATGGGTTTTGCATAAACAAGTTTGAAATGAATGGAAAATATATTACTTGCTGTAGTGGGATAAAATATATTACTCTTAGTTTGCGCTCTGAATTTTTGCTTTTGAATTTAAAAAGTGCAGAGATATCTTATTTTCATGCTTTCAACATTAACTGAGTCCTATTGACATGAGTAGAAACGAATTCGACTGTTATAAGCAATTGGTTTGGCTGCATTCATCAGAAATCATGGTCAAGCAATATCTTTTCTTTTTCATTGCTTACGTAATGAATGTGACAAACATGTTGATCAATGTAAATAGCAAAGCAGGAGTGATTTTCTCGAATAGGTATGAATGTAAAAATAAACGGAAAAAAAAATATTGGCATGGTAGCCATGTCAATTCCAAATGTATGAATCAACATCAATAGTCAGATTTAAAAGGATTTTGAAGTAATGAGCTCTGAAGCAGCAGTAAGATATGACAGTATTGTTTTTTGTCCAAAATATTGGCTCACTTGAAATTGTAGGATTTGTTTTCTAGTAGAAAAGTATTTCATCTGAGACCTTTGGATTATCATTTTGAGTTAGGAAAACTGATTTGAAATACCCTATAGTTACTCCATCATGAACTAGCAAAGCTATTATAAGAGCTCATTGTTAAAGTATTAGATGGTGGTAAAGGAGAAATGTTACTATATGATCAAAAATAATAATGGTTACACTTTAATCTGGAGTATGACAATAATCAACTATTATTATATAAAGTTAAGAGTATGGCCGTCGTATATACAATTAAAATGCTAATCTAAACTTGTACTACTTTTTGTCTAATTGAAAAGGTACATAGTTAAAATACTGAAAAGAAATAGTTTTCCAATTTAATTTTGCATGAGGTAACATCTAGCTAGCTAAGTCACTCTATCTACCCAAACAATTTTTTTTCTTTTGCTTTTTTAGGAATTATGTTTTTATATTAGAGGATGCAGAGACCTAATCTATTGTGCAATTGGTTTTCTTAGGCGGTGCATAGCTTTATTTGGTGTGAATAATTATTCTTTCAATTATATTATTTATTAATTTATTAATACTATGGATAGTAGCTTCATTGATAACCACACGTCACATGCTTCCTTATAGTAATGCAAAATCATTTGAGGAAGCGGATTTAGTGAAGTTATTAAACATTTTGTGATAAATATATTATACATGAAAATTAAATTGGTAAATTATATTTGAGAAATATTTAAGTACATTCTTTCCGCGCATCGCACGGGAGAATTAATGCTAGTTTATTTTTTATATAAAAATTGTCTTACTTGCAATTTTAATTCCATTTTCTTCTTCCTTGGAACTCCCGGCTCTGGGTGGGTCCCGAGTTCGGGGTTTAAAAGAAAGTGGCCGCTCCCCCGTCTTCGGTTTCCTCCTTCTCCGGCGACCATTTTCTCGGTAAGCTACTAAGCTTAGCTCTGATTCTTTTTCCTTTCAAAACCAATCCTTCTTTTTATGCTCGCCAAGGTGAGGCATGTGAAAGAAGAGTTCTTTCTTTCTTTCGAAGTTGCAAATATGAAAATAATTTCACCACTTCGAAATAAAACCCTGTTGGTCGTTACGATCATTGGGTTGACTGTGTTACCTACATTACTCTTCTTATAATTTTTGTAGGTTAAATCAAGTTTTACGAGTGATGGAGAAAGGAGGAAAGGGGTATTCGCCGATGGACAAAGGAGGTCAGTTCATCTTTCTCGTATCGATGTTTTTTAGGGGTGATTCGGGTGAAAGTGCTGATTTTTGTTTACTCGTCACTTTTTGTTTTACGTATCCGATTGATCGTCTAAGAAAATTTTTATAATCTTTAATTAGTTTGTAAGCTTGTTTGTTTTCCTACATACATGGTGGAAACGGGCCTCTGTATCATTTTTTTTAAAAATTTTTTGTATTCTGAATTGAATTTTGGCCTGATGTTGCTACGAAATGTGCTATTCTTTTTGGCTTCGCCTAAGGACAATCAGGAACCCAAAGTGATCAATCTTCCTCTGCCGCTTATTGGACGGACTATTTAATTGGAAGATTTTAAGTCTATGACTAGGTTATTCTCCTGAGCCAACAGCTACCCCGCGTCTCGTATGTATGTTGCACTTTTGTAATTCGCGCCTGCTGTACGAAAAAACGACAGCATTTTAATATGTGAGGATGATCTCGGCTGTAAAATTCAACTCCATGAATGATGAGTAAGCAATTCCCAAATTTGGAAGGAAAAAAAAATTGACCTTCAAGAATGACTTTAATGGTCATCTTCACGACAGCTAAATACCAAAATTCGGCCTCCAAGAGTGATGAGTAAACTGAGGAGAAGTGAGCAGAATGGTACGTGTATCGTCTATGAGCTTCTTCCCTCCCTCCCAAATAGATGTTTTTTTGTCTCGAAGTGAAGTTCTGATTGAGGTTAAAAGGCAGAGAACGCTAGGATTGAATTTCATATTACACTGATAGGATCCTGCTCACTTACTGAAACAGTCATTTTATTTGTGCAATAAACACGCATTAACAGAACTCGTAGCAGACATTCTGAATGCCAGCTGCACATAGTGGGTTGTATTTTGACCATCTAAGGTGGATATATATTAGGTTGCCCATGCTAAAAGCTCTCATGCCTTGTATATTGCGACCTATGTGACGGCAAATCTGTATTGTTGCTGATATGAAATTTATGTGCTGATGTGGGTTCTTTGATCTTGCCGCCATCAATTGGTGATGCATGCTAATAGTCAAACCATTTTACGATTTAAAACTCTATTGCCCACTTTTTTCTTTGTAGGATCCTTAAAAGGGAAAGATGATAGTGCTCCGAAATCAGCCAAGGGGAGGAAAGTTCATTTTGCTGAAGAAGGTTAGCAGTACATCTCTACTCTCTTCATACTGCCTCTCACTAAAGTATGAAAATCATAAAATTTTCTTAAGATGCTGGAACTGAAGTTTACATGATATTGATCTCGTTTACAATTAGTTGTATAATTTCCTTACTAATTGAATGATGTAATTCTTGTGTATTATAGGCTCTTTTGAAACCATATCAGGTAGTTCACCAATGTCTGGGGGAAAAGCCGCTAGCACACAGTTTAAAGGTATTATTATCTTAACCTTTTTTTTGGTAGATACCCTTTTTACAATCTTTAAATATGTTTCCATTTCCCATTTTACCAGTACTAAGTTCTTTTTTTATATATATGTATTATGGTATTTTTCATTTTCATGGCGATTGGAATAAAGGAGGAAAGGGAGAGAAGATTGCAAATGGAAGAAAGACTCCTTTGTCTGAAGGCTCAAAATCATCAGAATTTGGCATTGAGCAGGGTTGGTAGTCGCCTTAATCTTTTACTTGATTGTTGACCTAAACAGTATATGCACTTGCTTTTAACATGTAAAATATTGCGGTGGCTGGGCCTAAGAATTGCATCGGACATATATCTTCTTGTATTACTTGATTCCTTTTAGGACTCTAGGTTTGTGTTGATAATACTCATCTGATTAATATCAACAGTTTTAAATCTTCTTGGTGACTCATGCAGAACTTCCGAACAATGTCAAATGCCTGATGAATTGTGAGGCTGCTGATATTTTACTAGGAATTCAAGATCAGATGACAATATTATCTAAAGATCCAACTATCAAAATACCTGCGTAAGGGAGCATTAAAGATTTTCTTCTTAGGTTGAAGAGATGCTTTGGTTACTGTTTATCTGAAAATTTTCTTTTCTTCCTGTTCTAGATCATTTGACAAGGGACTGCAGTATGCCAAAAGCAATAGCCATTATACAAAGTCGGAGTCTGTTAGGAGCATTCTAGAGTATCCTTAATTTTTCAGATTGGTATGTTTATAGGATTGTGTTCGGTGTGCCTAGGTGAGTTTGCATGGATAAATAGTACTAATGCTTGGATGTGACTTTCCTCTTTATTCATAATGTTCATATATTGTTTGAATCTTGACTATAAGATTAGGCCTTTGGCAGATCTTGGTGTCTCTGATGCGGAGGTATCATTCCCCTTCTAGTTTCCCTTATTCTTGCATATTCTGTAGGGTTCCTGACAATAAATCTTGAACTGCAGCTATGTGTGATTGGTAATGTGTGTCCAGAAACATTGGAAGAGGTTTATGCTCTGATCCCGTCACTTAAGGTATGAAATGTAGAAGTCATAATGAATTGAGAATGGGCATATCTCGTTCATTTAAATTTTTATAGGAAGGAATGTAAAAGGTTGTTATCGAAAATTGTTTTTTTAACTATATAATGGAGGTATTTCACGATTATTGAACAAATATTTATTATAGAAAGGAGGCCTTCAGTGGATGAGTAAATTGGCTGGTGCAGAAATGATTTATTTAGGTCTCCAATCCTCTGATGTTAAATCTGGGAAGCTGTTGATAGACTTGGTAACGTTCATGATATTATCATGTGATCCAGCTCTGGGAATTGGTAGAAAATCATTTAATGTAGCTTAAACATATACAGAGAAGGTCGCTAAAGCCGCTAGTGAGAACAGTTGGGCATATGGTGAATGATACTAAGAAGGATACTCAAGGAAGTTATCAAATTGGTGAATGATATATTTGAAGAATTAGTTGTTGACGTGTAATTCATGTAGCTAACCTTGTTTAGCGGAACAAGACTTATGTCTATTGTTGTATGGTGAGGGATATCCCCATATTTTGTTTTGGCCAAATTTTCAATTGAAATTTTTGGGAGTGCTCTCCCTAATATCCCATAATCTGGAGGAATCTAACTATGTCAAAAGGATCTACTTTCCCCTCTTTCATATTTTTGACGTCTTGAGTGCTTTCTATAGTTGGCTGTTCCTTGACTTCTTATTTCCATTGTTGTCCCATTTCGGCTGCCTCTGTTTTCTGACCATATTATTTTCATGGCAGGATCAGGGTCCTGTTTTAGATATAATTTTAAGCCTCTTTTTAGTTGTGTTCTCTCTAATTTAATCCGCAATTTCAGATTTCCACTATCAATATAAAATATTAGATCTATAATAAAGCAATTATTTATGAATTATGAATAGCATGACTCACTTCAAATCGTGTAAAACATGCTGGAAAATGTGTCTACTCACACACACACATGTATATATGTAAACGTGGCAATTCATCACTGTTGCAGGTCAGGAGAAGCAGGATCGAAGGACTTCTCAGAGATATGTTAAAAGAGCTTGGGAAACTTAAGAAACCCATGTAAAGCCACGTGATGCAAGGGAAAAGGCCTACTTGCTGGTCAGTTTTCTCTTATTAAGCATCAGTTCAGAATTTTCCTTTTGCTTCTTTACTTCTGTATCCAATTTCCCCCCCTGGCTATATATGCAGGTTTTGAATACTTCGTGGCATGTTGAATACTGCAGATTTATGAATGTAGAGATGTAGAAATTAATTAGCGTTCTGTGAAACATTGTGTATTATGAAAAGCACTTTCTGAAAGAGCATGTTAGCTGCTTCTGAGACAAAATATCAAGCTTAATGCATGTTTTATATGCCTGCTTGAGCTAATATTGCCCACATGTACCTTTTTTTAAAAAAAAAAAATTATCTGCTTAGTTAAGAATTTTGAAATTAAATAGAGTTGGTTCTGAATTCAATCCAAAATAAAATTTTAGGGATGTATGGTTTCTAACTTTAAGACTTGATTACAATACTTCTATTTGGAGTGATTTTAAGTATCTTTGTAAGCATTTTCTGCACTAAGAGGTATGTCTTAACTCTGGTAAATTCCGGGAACTTAGCTCACTCACATTTTTGTTGTATAAAAAAAAATACTTCTTTTTGGACTTACTCTCAAATGCAAGCAAGTTTGAAAATGAAAATTATTTAAACCTAGATTTGATCTAAATAACTATCTTCCTGTATATTTTTAGTTCCAAAAGAAATATAATCTGAACAATGACTCCGAACAATACTTGACCGGGGGGGGGGGGGACTCCGAACAATATAAATTCGCATTTCACCCTCTAATGTTACAGGGAACATACCCAGTTATCCAAGATTTCTTTAAACTGAACACACAATTTGTTATACAGAGTATGGTTGTAGTCAATTAAGGTTGTTTAGATGTTTGATTATGTTCCATTTTGGATGAAAGTCGTATGAAAAGCTTGGTTCAATTCAGATCATGCCAAAATAACCTCCTTATTCTTTTAAATATATAATGGTATAAGTTTTTATTATTGAAATTTGCAGTTAAACATAAAAATAACAATTTATGTTAAGATAATATATAATTTTGTAATTAAATTGTACAGTATAAAATAATTATGGTATATTTGCAAGCAATGGCATTTTTTGACAAGACGCTGATATCTTCACATCAACAAAAGCGTAAACTAAATTTAATCGGTCTGCTTTGGTTTGATACAAGTTTTAAGGGGCAAAAATCGAAATTTGACCCAAATTTAGTCGGCTGGCAAAGCTACAACCCAAAGTCATAATCAAATTGGAAAAAAAATTTTTTTTTTAAAAAAAAAGGTGTTTGTCATCCCCTCAACAAAACTCGAGGAATAAAAAACTGGATTAGATATTAAATCGGTTAAAGTAGTGGTTCAAAAGCTAGTAAGTCAAATTAAGGTTCAATCGGGATCAAACCGGTTATATTAAAATAATATATTCTTTTAGTCCTTAATATAAGACCCATTTAACTAATTTAATTGGATTAAGGAAATTAGGTAAGTTAGTTAATTATAAGAAATGTGACACGTTTTTTCTAAAATACCATAATCATCTTTCTTAATACTCTCTCTTCCTCTTCTACTTGATTATGTTGAGAGAGTATCCATAGGGGTAATTTAAAGAAAATTGATAAATATGAGAAATGAGTTTTATATTTAGGATCAAAACCAACTCAATAATTAGGTCCTATATTAAGGACCGGAGGAGTAATATAATTAAAAATAACAAAATACAACAATAACAATAATCACTAATAACAAAATACAAGAAAATACAACAATAATTTGATTGTAACAATAACAAAGTATTAAAAATATTGAGAATTTTGATCTTTATAATTTCTTAATAAGTAAAATTAACAATCATTTATACCAAAATCATCATTAAAATTCATTCAAATTCATAATGATTGAGATATTAGAAGTTGAATGAGAAAAAATAAGATCAATAATAATATAATTATCTAAGTCGGTTCACTCCCAGTTTATCACCAGTTCAGTACTTAAATCAAAACAAACCATTGATCGGTTTACCAATTTTCTGGTTGAACCAGTTGGTTTGGTTCAGATTTTTGCTCGTTGACAAAACTTCTCCCAACCAAGGGAAAAAATTATTGATTTCCTCTCATCACTACAAACAGCCCTTAATACTACCTCCAGTCCTAATTATAAGACCCAGTTGACTAATTTGAGGAGATTAAAAAAGTAAGTTAAGTTAGTTATTTGTAATAAATAAGTGTTGTTATTCCTAAAATATCCTTGCTAATTAAATGTATTGACTAGAACTATTATTATTAGAAGGACTGTCTTGAAAAAAGATACATAAATATGAGAGACAAAATGGATTAAGGTCTTATAATTAGGACCAAACTAAAAGTCAAACGGGGTCTTATATTAAGGACCGGAGGTAATATAATTTAATCGGGAAGAAATTATATATTTCGTAAGTGTAAGAGCAAAAACTTAACCTTCTTATTCCTTTTTATTAAAATTACTTTTTAATTTTAAACAAACTGGCCCTTGCTTAATAATTTAAATCTCGAAAATTCATTTATTTAAACTTAAAAAGTAAGGATTTTTTATTTTATCCTCGTTCTTAGAACAATTATATAGAATAATTTCTTTAAAACAAGTTTTGGAAACCAAAGATTAAAAAATCTGTTCCTAACATTATTTTGAAAAACATATAAAATAATGAAGTGGGACATAAAAGAATAGTTTGTTTTATTAGCAATATTGTCATTAATGAAAACAATATTTTATGTTTCCTCTCTAATTTCATATAACAGAACGTAACAAAATATCAAAAAGATATACTGATTTTTTTGGTATTTCAGAACAATTTTTTAAAACATGATCTTTTAATAATTATTTTCATAACAGCAAGCCCTGAGTCTTTAGAAATTTCATGAATGAGAATTACAAGATATTTTTTTTTGTTGACCATGAATTATAAGATGATAGGTGATAGAGAGATGATAATAGACAAATAATTAAGAAAATTAATAAATAGATTATAACAGACTTGGAATTAGTCTACAAGTCAAATCTTAAAGGCCTCTTCTTCAAGTTCTTGCCACTTCCACTGGCACTAGCAGCCCGCATTTTCAGCTCCTCAGATCATTTTGGCTTCTTCTTCTTCTTCTTCTTCTTCTCCCTCCCCTTTCTTGTGCCTTTGAACAACTCATCAACGGTTTCTTAGAGAGACTGTCGCTGTGTGAAATCTGAATCTCTCTCTCTCTCTCTCTCTCTCTCTGCGCTGATCGTTACGTTGCGGAATGGGACGTGCGCTATCGCTGAGATTCCGAAACATTTTTCGTCCAAAGAAGCTCCGTTACCACCGTATCTCTAACTTTTCTGATTCCCAGACTCAACCTCTTCTCGAAAATCACAATCAGGTACGTTTCAGTGTTCTCTCGTTTCAATTTGTATCCAAATCATCTCACTCGACCTCTAATCTCAATCGATTTCAGTTTTCTGATATGAGCGGTACTGTACTTGGTTTCTCAACTGTTAGATTATATATGTAGCTTTAGTTTTAAAATTTTTTTTTTGCTAATGGATGAGGACTAAACTAGTGATTTGACTCTTGAATCGTTCTTAGTTTTTGAAGTCTTGGAAAGAAAACTGTTCAATTTGTTTGATCGTCTGTTATGATAAGATCATGCTTTTTCTGTGTTTAGTTCAAGGAAGCAGAACTGGAACATGATGTTCAAGCCTCCTGGGAAAAATTATCAGCTCTAGAGAAGGAAATTGGAGCCTTGAAATCCAATCTTTCTAGGCTTGAAACGAAGCTCCAGATAAAGGTTTTAGTTTTTTCAGCCCTTGAAAAAGTTGAACCTACTTGATTATGGAATATAGTTAACTTCCTGGAAAGTTATGCAGATTTCCCGGGAAAGATACAGAAATGAGAAATTTTCTCCTATGTGACAGGCCAAAGAAGGCAATAATCAACATGAAGCAATCACAAGTCTTGAACAGAAGGTTGACAAACTGAAGAAGCGTCTTGATGATCAGATCATTTTAGCCCAAACTAAAGTATTAGTTTTTTTGCCCTTGAAAAAATATTGAACCCTCTTACATTTGAACTTTTTTCGTTCATATATGAACTATTTTCCTGGGAAGTTACAGAAATTTTCACCGCGTGACAGGCCAAAGAAGCTAGTGATCGACAAGAAACAATGACTAGTCTTGAACAGAGGGTTGACAAGTTGAAGAATTATGTTGATGGGATTATTTTGGGACATGAATATCAGAGAAAGATGAACTCTAATGTGAGTTACTACACACACTATTGCCGATTGTACCAAATAAAAAAAAATCAGTCATTTTGATTAATTTTTCCTGTTATTTTAAAAAATAGGAAATTCTTAAACAAGAAGGAGCCACTATAACAATAGAAGAAAATAATAGCAATATGGAAAAGAAAGTTGCAGAGTTGGAAACCAGGGTCAATGAGATGACTTCTTCCATGATAGATATGATCGCTGATATATCTGAGCCTAAGGATAAATATTCTTCAAACCCTCAGGTAAATCTAGATAATAAATAAATATATAATAATAAATTGTGTTTAATATCAATAATTAGATGCACTTAATGAAAGATGGGGGTGGAGTGGAGGAAAACAAATAGATAGTTGTATTTTATAGTTGGGCTTTATAAAACTGTTGTTGCTTGCAATTAGGAGTTAGCCAATTAATAGTAATTTAATTTTAGAATCCATACTTTGCATGGAGCTCAAAATTAAAATTCATAAGTTTTATAAACAATATAATTTCTAGAACTTACTTCTTTATATATATATATATATCGATGCCCTGATGCTTTCTCTTTTGCAATGTAGGAGGCACTGACTAAAATACCAGATATGATACAAGTTTCTGAGAGTGATTTAGTCACAATATGCTTCTTAATTCTGGTTTTCATTGCTGCATTTATCATTGGTAAAAATTTGTAATCCTACTTAGTGCTTCTTCTTCTTCTTTTTTCAAGTACATGTGCTGGCCGCTGGGTGAAATAATTTAGTTGTAAAAAATGTATCGTATATTGACATCTCCCCATATCATACCCCTCTCCTATTTACAAGATAGGGAAAAAAAACATTTTTTATCTTATTTATAAGTCACATTAAATTTTTAGTGTTAATATACTATTTTGTCCTCATTTATTATAGTGTACATAGTTATTTTTTAAAAAAAAATGTATATATTGAATAGGAATGAAATTAGAATGTTGTTATGTTTTAAGATAGAGTTAATTATTTTTAGTCTTATTTATAAGTTAAAGTTTAATATTTACATGTCAAACTTCAGTGCTTGTAAATAGCTGGAACCTGTGAGTAATTATTATTTTTCTTATTTGGGGATCTGTATGTAATTAGCCTTAATTTCTAGTCCCAGGGCTAGGAACGTGCGAGGATCAGGAAGGGGCGGTATGTGTTGCCAAAAAATGAAAAGGAATTCACCCCAGCCCGATGCCCATTACACTAATAACGTGTTGTAGCCCAAACCCCATCCCATCTTGAAATGGTCCATTGCCTCAACGGGCCAGCAATAATCCCAAAACTTTCTTTTGTTGCCAAAGATTTTTTTTTTTTTTTAGCTTTCGCATCTGGTATCCTAAAACAGGCCACCTTTAAGGCAGATCAATGGCTCCAGACTAATTCGAATCGTTAATTGTGGGCATCTCAAAGGGTGGGATAACTGACCAGGAGATTTAACGCTTTCCATGTCCAAGATTTGATTTTGGTTTTACATTATTACCGATTAAAAATCTTATTAGTAGACGATCTATAAATACATGTAAGTGTTTTTTAACTCTGAAAGTATGTCCTGATTCTAGTGAATCTTCACGACTCAACTTACTTAAATTTTTTTGTATAAAAAAAACTAAAATTATAAACTTGTGCAAAAAAAAAGATATTATAAAGTCCTTTGGCACAAAAATATAAAAGTTGAATCATAAGCTTCCAACACTGATTTATATAATAAAGCAAACATCAATTGACTGTCCATTAACCTGATGTTTCATGAAAACTGACAAGTAAAAGTCACGGGTTTGAACACATTTATAACTTTATACTATTAATGCCTACCTCTCTAACTGGAAAAAAATAAATTACATCAATATGCTTATACCATTTTCAGTCCATAATATAAAATCTACTTAAATAATTTGAGTAGATTAAGAAAACTAATTAAATTAGCTATTTATCAAAAATATCAATTAATTTTCCTAAAACTCTCTTTTAAATCATTGGCATTAAAAGTACTCATTGATACAAATTTTCTTAACATGCATAATCAATAAGAATAATTTGGAGAAAAAAAATGATAAGAGACAAAATAAATTAAAATTTTATATTTAGGATCAAACTCATACTCTTAACTAGCTTTTATATTAAAAACTTTCCAATTAAGGCAGTCAAGAAAACCATAATTTGTTGAAGTAAATAGTAGAATAGACATCAAAACAACCATATATTCTGACTATTCTTCAATCTTCAATACCAAAGCGTTATATGCCAATCCCTTGCACGATAGTAGTACAATGACTGAATCCTATATGCGAGCCTCCAATATCCAAGAATGCTAATGAATATCCCTATTGTCATCTTCTAGTATCTCAGCTGTCCTAGTTCTAACCGATTCATGAGAAGGGACCATGAAAAAAGAACTACCCATGAAGCCTCTTAAATCACATTGAAATGATACAACATTCCTTGCATAATGAAAACTAATCCTAAAACCCATAGGTTATATGTTGTTTGGGAGGAAGATGAATCTGACTCTTTATCAGTAACACCCACAGGAAATTTACAACCACCAACCGAAGGGTCTGAAGAGGTTACCATTCCTAGGCCATCAAAATCGCAGCTTCTTGAATCTTGCATTTGCAGCTGATAGTAACTGTTAAAAGCATAAGAGACGTTACCTTTCGCGCCAATTCCATTACATGAACCTCCATAGTCAAGCGTTGTGCAATCTGCAACACTGCAAGCTAGTCTCATATGGTTGGCCACGGTGGTCAAGTCACTAGAAGGGCTTGCCACACACCACCTTGATGGAAGATACTGAACATTCTTAGCATTCTTCAGTTCTTTATTTCCAAGGCCAAGGTTTAATGGATACTTAACCTTCCCATCGAACGAGAATATTCCCCAGTGTCTTTCGAAGCTTCCCGGAAGTGTGCTTTTTGCACCTTCATCAAGCAGGCTGAAAATATAAATATCCATTGGAGAGGAATTAGGCCTCAAGGGTGTCCCTTTGTTACTTAGAACGTGGTTTACAAGGCCTTGGTTGAATACTTTTGCAGCTGTGATATTTGTCCCAATGGCTCCATCTGAAGGCCAACCGATTTCCCCAATAACTATAGGCATCTGGCCATAACCAAGTTTAGTCAACGCTGCCACTAAAGTATCATAGTTTCCATCAAATGCATTGGTGTAAACATTGGCACCATCTGTGACGGGATGAGTAGTTCCCTCAAAAATGCATAGTCTTGGGGGAAATCTCCGTTGTCATAAAGGCTTAAAAAAGGGTAGATATTAACCACAAATGGGGAGCCATTGGAGTTGAGAAACTGAACAAGCTGAGTCATTATTTGAGTCAGCTCAGGACGGAACGCCCCTTGTGAAGGAATCGAGGACTCGTAGGCATCGGCATTACAAGGGACCACAATTTTTACATTACCAGCAAGATTTGCTTTGACTAGAGACTGTTGCAGATTGAGTACTGCAGGCATGACTAAGTTCTGAAATTGACCATTATAACTGGTCAGGAAAGGTTCATTTCCAACAGCAATGTACCTGTCATCAACGGCAGAGGGTTAAAAGGGCCTGCAGGAAATCAAAATTAACTCTCTCTTTAATGGAAATCTAGCTCTAAGCACAGGCCTTAGAATTAAAAAGCAGAAGGCATTTCTACTTCAACTTTCATCAGTTATTAGAGAAGGAGTTGTTATCAACAGTTTATCTGATTCCTTGATCCATTTGATGCCCGGACAATAAAGGCTTCTGAACTAGATCAAAAGCCATATGTAGTTACATAGCTTCGGATGTAAAGCTATTTATGTTATGCATCATATAAAAAATGTTTGTGTCATCACTATATATCAACTTAAATAATAGTAATAAGACGGAAACATGAGTTCCTTTTTCCACGCATAGGAAGTCTATCTCTGGGCGAAATAAGTGAAAGCACACAAACTTGACTACAAGTTTGCAATATATCTTTAGTTATGTCTAAATTCATTCTTGCAGCAAGCAAATACTTGTTTCATTTTTTTGAAGTTGACAAAATATACAGTCAATTAGACTTAGTAACAAAACAGAGCTACTTCTTCCTCTGGTTTACTTCCTTCATTGAGGCTAGTAGCTCTGGAACAGAACTTGATATTATTTGATAAACGCTAAAGTTTTTAATAAATTTCCATTAGAGTTTTATACTGTGGATATAAATTCTGAGTAGTCGAAAATAAGTAATTAAGCTAAAGCTTGCCATTCAGAATCGACAGCTTTATCTATTTGCAACAAATCACGATATTATTTGCTATTTGATTGATTCTTACTCAGACGCTCAAAATAAAAATAAATGCTCGTCCAGCCTCTACCGATAATTAAAAAATGAAAAAGAACAAAAACGAAGAAAACTCCGATGAAGATCAAATCATTTTGCATCTCTGGAACAGCTGAGCTCTGTAGCTCCAGGGAATCACAACTTTCTAAGAGCTTGTTTCCGCGGAGGACAACCAATCTAAAGCAGAACAGAGCGGCTCGTAATCATATGATCATAAAAGAAAAAACAGATACCCTGGAAAGATCACCGGTTTACAAAAGAATTTCCGCCCAAAAAAAAAAAAAACCTGCATCCTGAACGGGAGAAAAATGGGAAAAAGATCCTTTTGAAAGATATTTTACTCAAAACTTTCGTCCATGTTTATGTTAAACGTAAAATCCTGAGCTATCCTCACTATCATCACTTCAAACGAAATCCTTCACATTCTTACACAACTTCTACCAGGTATTCAACACAACGGGAAGCTCAAAATCCATGTTTCCTAGACAACAACTCTAGACTCCTTAATAAAATTCCGTTAAACATCTCGGGGAAAAAAAAACAAGAAGGAAATAATAAACAAGAGTACATAAAGAAAGAAGAGACGAACCTGATAGAGACACCACCTTTGCCCATATAGGAAGAAATATTCTGACGAACCCACAAATCAGCAGCAGAAGGGGACGAGCTCAACAGAGATAACATCTCGTTGGGGATCCCAACCATTACCTGAATCCCACTTCCTTTCAGAGCCGTAAGAACATCTGCCTCCGCGTCGAACAGCTTCACCTTTGGGATATTATTGTCCTTCAAGAGATCCACCACTGTCGAAGGCCTCAGCCTGCGAAACGATACCGTTCCCCAGTTCACCCCTATCGCCGATTCCACCGTCGGAACTGACCTCCAAGCAAGTAACCAGAGAAAAATGGAAGTTGCCAATCTACGCTCCAACATTCTGCAACTCAAAAACGTTACTCCTATGGGCTAAGGTTTCCAAAACTAAACAAGCAAGTTATTGATAAGAGAATTTGCGATGGAGAAGGAGACAATAACGGAGGCTATTAGAATCAACTTGGTGTGAATCGGAAGATGAAGAAGGGGTGAAGAGAGAAGAGTGAATCGCGCGGAAATGCGAGTGGTGTGT